AAATGTGCCTGGTACGTGTCAAGCATCATCAGGTCGTCTCAAACGATGTTACTCCTAGACCATAACGAGAAAGGAACTTCACTGGCCATGAACAAAGCGCCATATGCCGCGGAAAACCCGCGAATAGCTGGCCAGGAAGCCGCCACAAAGAAAAAGAGAAAGGAAGGTGTATGCTGTTTTGAAAGACAGATACACAGTAGATGTGCAGCTGCGTAAGGGTCAGTGGCGTAGTGGTAACACATTGCGTCCGGACATGAACAGGAGTGGTTCGATTCCCCCCTGGTCCAGACCAAGTTTTTGGAGAAATGACTTCGTTCACGACACCATATCTTTTCACGTCCTGATGAAAGCTGCAGGGCGGGAAGTGAGTTGCTAGATGCTAAAAAGTTCGGCCAAAACTAACTGGATGAGAAGTGGCAGAAAAATAAAAGTTAATATATCCAAAAGAATTATTCTGAATTTTGGATACGCTGTTTATTTTCTTTATTGTCCGTAGAAAACAGGGTAAAGGAGCATGATTACCTGGCCGGAACTGTTTGACGAATAGCAACAGCTGCTTTTGCCGATGATAAAGTATGCAAGCAACACTGTTGTGACGTAGAATCAAATCCCATATGATGGGCCGACCGCCCTGAAAAATATAAGCTAAACAAACAGCAGAAAATACGAAAATTTTTGAGGCACATGAAAAAAAAGGATTTCCCAAGTGCACAATAAAATAGCGACAATTTCAGACAACTTGAAATATCGCGGAGGAAGAGCTAAAAGTTCTCATCAAAAAGCAGTTTACTTACGCGCCTGAATTTCATTCGCACCGGTCGGATGAAGAGTGAATCGCGGACATCTTCAACAATTTCAACATCGGTTAGGAATTCTTCAGCGGTCCTCTTATTATCGGCCATCCTAATTGCCCCTGCACCACTTCGAATCAAGCGCGCCAACAATAGCACACGTGAAAATTTTCCACCCGTTAAAGCACTGCAATATTTCGCAAGCATCGAAGCATTTTCTAAAAAAAAAATTCAAAAAAAAAGATGCTTTAAACTTTTGAACTGTAAAAAAGGTTTTGTAAGAACAAGACAGCCATGCTCTTTGCTGCCTTGCGATTCACTCTGTAGGGCCATTGACGAAACGAAAGCAGCGAAAGACTGAATCCGTCGGATCTGGGTCCTGGGCAGTAAGTAAAACATGACCCACCAAAAACTCGGCAAAATCTGCCTGAAATCATAGTGATGAACGTTTGTGTGCTGGAAGAATCAGTGACATAAAAAATCAAGACTTTTTTTTAAAAAAAAATCATTTATTCAGGGTCTAAATAGGAAAATAACATAAAGAATCAATTTAAGCTCTTCTGCTTAGAGAGATGGAATACAGAGGACTGGTAATGTTGGACAGGCTTACAATTAGGATAAGAATTTCAACAAAATCCTCTATTTTTTTAAACAAAAAACACGGCATGTATATTAACTTGTTTTATGAAGAAACATTTCGTACAGCAAAGCATCACGAGAGAATTTGGAGTATTAACGAGAGCGAAGTAGTGAGAACAAGCATAGAATTTTGACAACAAATAAGCCTGAAAACAGTGAAATATGAGAATCGATAATCTTAAAATGGAATTCTATCAGCAAATACTGAAGAAAGTTTCTGATGGAAGTTAAAAAGATCGTTGGGATGACCAAGCGGGATAAAAGTGCCGATATGCGCCATGATATTTTTTCAAAACAGTTCCAAATGAATATGAATTATATGCTGGCCAATTTGATGCCCTTCTGCTTGCAGAGATTCTCCGTAAACTGCCACAGCTCGTCTTGTTGCTTCACGTCCGTTGAATCCTTGAACAGTTTCGTGACACGTTTGCAGCTACTGTCGTAGTAAGCGCCATTTACGTTGGCGACACTATCAGAGGTGCACACGAAGATCG